GGGGAACGAAAACAAAATTTCCATTGTTCCCTTTGAGACAACTGCTAGGCAGTGACATCGGGACACCTCCTCATTTTTTTTTGGCTTCCCCGGAGCCGTATTGCAAGGGGTTGATGCCCCCGTGTTTTTCGGAACCCGTTGCAACGCGCGCAAAAATGAAGCACAGCGAGTGAGAAAAAGCAAGCCTGGTGAATGGCTGGAGCGGTTTCTGTCGCCTGGTGTTTCGAGTAATGAAATACTTGGGGCGTTTGTTTTTGAGAGAGTCTGGCAAAGGTTTCTGCATCAGTACCTGAAACGCGGCGCGTTTGGTGAAATTGCATCTGTGTTTCGGACTGCCGGGCTTGGCAATTTGGCTACTCACTTGCAGCTTGGTCCCCGAGGCCTTTCAATCGAGCGTGAGCGTGCCAGGTACGGGCAACTACACCTGGATGAAGGAATCCCTGCCCGTGGAAATGGGGCCCCTTCCTCGGCCTTCTATTTCCCTTCCGTTGTTCGGGGGGCGAGAAGTGGAGATTGTTGCATGCGTCGATGTCGCCAGGCCGATGTTCTTTTTGAATCTCAATGAGAGGAAGGCCGCTTTGTGGCTGGTAGTGCGAATGCATCGGTGTGATAGGTTTTTCTTGGTGGTAGGAGGTACAATGAAATTGAGGACTTATTGCCAGCTTGCACTTGTTTGGCAGATTTGGCTAAAGAACAGAATCATATTTTGGCTGTGTATTTGTCGACACTTGCATTTTGCTAGATGCCAAGATTGTGAAGATCAAGCTTAACAGAAAGGAGAATCAGTGAGTTATTGGCCAGCATCAGCATGAAGGCCACACACACACACATTATTAGGGTTTGGGCTGCTGCAAGCATTAAGACGTGCTTGCCACCTCAACTTCTCGACTTGCGCAACATAGCTGTCACGAGTTCATGTAACTCTTGCTGAAGATGTTGGCTGCTTTGCTTCATTCTCTTAGGGTTTGGGGTGGCAGAGGCGGACATGGCTTGAACGGTTTCAAATTCCCATTTGACATTTTTCAGTAGCAAAAGTCATGTCCAGTTGGACTCGCGACTCTTTTCGCGGCCTTTTGGGGTCTGTCTTTCTTGGCTGGGTGCCCATTTTGGATTTAGTTTAAAAGGGGGAAACCAAAAGGAAAAGCGTTACATTGCGTGCAACTCGGCATAACACGCCAAGCTCCGAAAATTTCAATACCAAGGGGAGCGCAGTGACCAAGCTAGCAGCCAAGGATTCATAGCGGATTGGTGAGCAGTTGTGGCTGGTTGCCCGTTAACCTTCCTTCGAAGTCATCAACCAACCAAAAGGCGGTTCCTCAATTCTAGGACACGTAGTTTGGATGTTTCTGGCACAGGTAATTCTCATTTGGACCTTGCCCCCCCCAACTAACTGTGGGTGTTGTGGGTGTTCGTGCTTTCGTGCGTAGTGCCGATGTTTGGCTGTGTGATCAAAGAAGCAAAAGAGAACGACCCTTAAACCACAAAAACAGCAAACGAAAACAGATAGACCCAACAGATAGACCCAAAAACACAAAGCACAACCGCACACCCAGCAAAAACAGATGGACACAAACAAAACCCGGGTAGATGAAGGTTAGTAAAGGACAATCCCCTTGATATAAATAGCTGCGGATATCCGCCTTCTTAATCCTTTACATGGTTGTGGGTAGACCATTTTAATACCGGGGTTGGATTCATAACTCGCCCGCGCCATCCGTTCCCTGAGTCCCGACGCCATCCACGTGCTGCGGCGGCAGCGCATGGAGCGGAACCGGCTGGCGGAGCCGGTGCCGCAGACGTGGCCGGGACAGCCAGTGGAGGGAGGGGTGGGGGGGGGGGGGATGAAGCGGCCGGTGCAGCTGTCTGTTTTCTCGTTTCAACTCAAGATGGTAAGGGATATGGCTGAATTGCGTTCTTTTCTGCTTCATGTGCCCGAAATGGTTGGTTCGCTTTAAAGGAATACCCGGTTTTCAGACAAACCCTATTTTGATGAGAATGGGTGTGGGTCTCCTTTCCCCCCTTCATTTTAGATCTGGTTGCCAGGAAGTTTCCATGGGCTATGCGAGGTTCGGGCCACCGTTTCCCACAAAACGAGCCCGACGGACACCCGGGGGACTCGCTCAAGACCATTTTCGCCGCTCTCGCGCACTACCGGGTTGCACTTTGTTGAGGTCTTGTGTTTGCTTTTTCATGGCCCCCAAAATGGCAGCCATGCAATTGACCTGGCCATAGCCCGTAAAAGGTTCGCCCCTTCTGCTCAGTTTCAAAGTGTATGGTCAAAAGACCACTTTGCTTGGGCAGGCATGACCATGACCCACATGTAAATCATGTCCACCAAAGGGTCCCCACTTCAGATGTATGGCTGTTTCCATCCCTTAGAGCTCAGCTCGCCTCTGACAGAACATGTCAGAGGGGTTGCCTACATTTCTCCTTGCAATCCAGGGGAAAATTGCTGACAGAGACATCACCCTGTTTGGGGAGTTTCTCCATATTGAGACACACCCACGTTGCTAGATGTTTGTCCGATGCTTCGTTTTGCGCCATCCATCCTGAGTGGTATGTTGAGAAGGCACCTGGTGATTGGATTGATCCCAAGGGTTTATGCCTTTGGGTTCTTGTGACAAGGGCTCTTCCGCATGTTTTCTGGATCATAGCTGACCGGGGTCCAGCATATTTTCCTATGATGTGATTTGAAAACACTCTGAGTTTGCTGTGGCATGCAGGCAAGTCTGCTTCGTCCAATTTTTAAGCTTGAGTTGCTCCGGTACCAAGAAACACCAAACATGACTTCCACAAGCTGGGCTTCCCTCACTTCAGCTTTGTTTCATTTCAAGTCTCAGCCATCGCGAGTTGAACCCACGATTAAACTGGTGCGAAGCGGAATACGCCCATTGAAAGCATGGGTCACCCTGGGCCCTTTGTTGCCTTTCGGCACTCAGAGCGTGCAGCCGACCCGATCGCAAGGTCAAAGATGACACAGCTCTGGGGCGGTGGCTACTACCAGGATGCGATCCGAATGTCCATAGCAACAGCATTTGGTGCGCCCTTGGGTTGAAGCTGATATTGCAAGTGGCGAAATAGCAGTGGTTTTCACAAACGCTAGCTACGCTGGTTGCTTACTTTAGAGGGGGTCTATTTCACAGACCATAGACTTTTCGTGGTCAGGCCCCTGATTCTTGAGGCGCGGTGTTCAAGATTTTGGATATCGGATTTGTGATATTCCCGGTGTGCCGGGTGTGTCCCAGAATTTCTTGATGGTGTGTCCTGCGCTTTTCACCGGATGCCATACAAAGGGGCAACCGCAGTTGTGGCATGTGTAACAGGTTCCCGAACAAATGCAGGATGGCATCTTGACCACTTCCCATCGACAGGAGTTCGAGTACATGCCGGAAGAGTACAAGGACCCCGGGAAAAGGGGCGGAACCAACCCGGCTTTGCCGGGAGGAACCCGATCGGCGGTTCTCTTTGTTTCTTTCTGTTTACACACTTTTCAAAGGGGTTCCCTGTTTTGAAGCCCCCCGCTTTGTAGCCTGGACAGCTGAAAAAACACACGCTCCCCCCAAAAATGGCAGCAGACCCCCGGCCCACGACCCCACTGGCCCATGAGGACAAGCGAGGATTGCCCGCCAGGCGCGCGCCGCGCGCCGCGGGAGCGCACCATTCGCTTCGACTTGTTGCTGGCTCCAAGCTCTTTTTAGGGATCTGACCGTCCCAAAAAACCCCCAGGTCGCGGCTCGTTTAAGAAAGAGAAGTATGGTTGAAACGGGGGGGAAGACATGTCCGATCAATAGAGTGATCAACAGATAGGCGATGACAACACGGGTTCCTTAGTTTGAGCAGAACCTGGCTGGTTTGAAGATACTGGAGAGAGACAGAAGCGTCTTGCTGATTTTGGCAGCTTCTCCTGTCGGACTTAATGGTGTGGCAGCTGTAAGTCACATATAATAATATATATATATATAGTATATATATATATATAGTATATATATATATAGTATATATATATATAGTATATATATATATATATATTTGTATACATGTATATGTATATCAGGATCTCTGCCAGGGTACCATGGCAGTTCCCCAGGTGAACTTGGACCATGCGCACGGAAGGGCCATGAGAAGCGTGCAGCCTCATTGGTTTGTAAGAAGCAACCATGCCGTGCTTCTATGCTCCAAGACGAAACAAGGACAAATAATTGTAGTGAATTCGATTCCAGTTGTCATCATGCAGATCTTTGTACGCACGGTCACCTTGAGATGGATAAGGAGGGCGTCCCGCCTGACCAGCAGCGGTTGATCTTCGCAGGCAAGCAGCTTGAGGACGGCCGCACGCTCTCGGACCAGGTCAAGCATGCGGTGAAGTTGTCTTGCACAAGTGGCGCTCATGAGCGAGCTGTCCTGATTGGGGCGGCGGTCAGCACGGCGGTGTACCAGGTGATCCGGCAAGGTGAGCCTGAGCAGGTTTGTCGGTGGTGCGGTGACCCCACCGCATCCATGTGGGACCATTTGGTTTGGTTTTGCAGAGCTTTTGCATGTGCAAGGACCGCGCTATCAATATCGCCGTTGGCTAGGCGGTTGGGGGTGGCCTGAAGGTGGTGATGATCCAGCTGCTGGACAACGTCTCCATCACATGGGTAAAGTGCGGAAGGCTGTGCTGGGTCTCCACCGGCCAGCCAGCCGCGCGGCGGCTGGCCGGTGATCGGCCCAGGCGTTGGGGGCGGACTTCTTGGTCCTGCTTCGGTGGGGGTGGGCATTCTCTTCCGGGCCTTTGCCTTTGAATTTGGAGGGGTGTCCATATCAAGACACTCAATTTCGGAGCTGCGCTTGCGATGAGTGTTTCTTTGTTGTCCAGCCTGGAGTTTGTGTGCATGTGTGTCGCATTGGGACAGGTGCTTAGTTTGGAGATTTCGCATTGATAGGACAGTTGGTTGCACTTTTTGCAGGCTGGTGTGGAATTCGATTGTCTCCGAAGGGAGTGACTCAGCGTCTGCCCCTGTTCGAGCCTTAAGCTTGAGCCCTGATTTCAACAAGACCAAAATTCGTTTGGACAGCAACACGGTCTGCTGACAGTGGGGCATTGTACAGTGACGGATCAGATGGACTTTGATTCTAGACCCATGCGCAGCCGTTTGTGCGAAGCTGGCGCTTTAGCGGTGCGCTCTGGGAAGTCAAAGGCGCCTTTCCAGAGCCGCCCTTTTCGAAATCCACTGGCCCATTGAACTTGAAGTTTGTACGTCTTCTTATCCAAGCCACAATGCTCGCGATCCTGAGCAGGCAGGCAGATGCGGACAAGCGGATGAAGATTGCCAACCACGACTGGCGATACACAGCCCAGGAGCGAGCAACAGGGATTCCTTCATTTCCCTTCTTTGGAACCTCAAGAGTGGGCAGCTTCAGCGGAAACAACCTGTACATGGTGCAACTTTTTAACCCCCACGAACGGCTAAGGGTTTCTTTGGACGTCGTTGAGACTTCTCAGGAGCGGCGGCTGAAGCACGAGCCCATGCTCCACGGCGTAGCTGCGGACAGAGAGTGCGGCGACCAAGAGTACACTCAGTTGGTGTTCGCGCTCGTTTTTGACGCATGGGCCAGTGGACAATTGGGTTTAGGCTCATGAATTGGCCTATGGCAAAACTAGGTTTAGGGCCAGTTTCTTTGATACTCAGGGATACCTTCAAAGTGATGAAGTACTCATGGGGATGACACATTGGCATCACAATCACGGTCTCAAGCGGAATCTTGCCCTTCCCCGTATTTTCCCATTGTTGTTTGCCAGATCTGAGGCGCGAAGAGTTTTTGGGGCGCCACCCAAAAATGGTCGGATGAAGCACGCTCGGCTTAGGATCTCTCAGTGACCTTAAGTATTTAATGCCTCTGGAAAGGAATCCAAATCAGGCAACCCTTCATTGGTCGTTTGGATTGATGGCTTGCAAGTTTAGAACTCCTGGTTCTTGTAGAAGTTAATTGGGAAGCCACCAAGGGCAACCTCCAAACCGGGCTCCAAACTGCCTTAACACGAGGGAAGCTGACCAGAAGAATCGCCCCTCGGTCTTGATTGCGATGAGCACTTGGTTGCGGGCCGCTGTGTTTGGTTCAGAGATGTTCAGAAGCGACGTCTTCAAAGTCCTCGGCTTGGCATTCATCACAGACCTCCAAGCAATGCTCAGCTCCTGAGGGTAGCTACCATATTGGAGGGCGCGTGTTTGGATAAAACCTCTAGCAGCAAGGATCAGCGATAAAGCTTAAGCAGGCCTCGAAGACCACACTTCCAAAGGAATAACCACCAGACTCCCGGAACATATTTTTTAAGGATACACCAAAATAAGAGATCAAGTTAGGGTTCTAAAGAAGGTCTAACTGTCCTTCTTCTTCATTGAGGTTTGGTTTTCCCATGAGCATTAATTCTTGAAGGATATCTAATAATCAATTCATTCTTCACGGGGACAGCGGAAGTCTTTGATACTTGTAGCCGGGCTTTTTCTTTGCCCCGGTGAGCGGAGCGGAGCGAGCCCATCCGGGAGGCAGTACCCCTACCTGGGTGGCGACAAGGACGCGGAGTTGGAGGCCGCGCAAGCGGCGGGTTTTGGGGCCCCCTTATCCATGCGGAGGGGAAGGTGCCTGAAAAGGGGTGGAAATCACCCAAAAGTACTGTAAATACCGTGAAAATCTCTTGGAGCGTGTATTCATATGTATGTATCTGTATTTTATACACCAATTGTATATCTGTGTCATAACAGTCCACTTTGTCAGAGGGGTTTCCCCTCTCTGACGAGCACCGTGCCCCGTTTATGACACGCAGATACAGTTTGTGCATATAGTGCATATAGATACATACTACACACATGTATGAGTAAGCAGCCGGCTGACATGGCTGAGCAGTGATCCCGAAGCTTCCGGCATGTTCTTTTTGGCTTGACACCTCACAGATCAACGGCCACACAACGGCAGAGCTGCTTGAAAGGCGGACGCGAGGGGAGAGCAAGTCCCCATTCAAGAATCCTGTGGAAGAGACGTTTAAAGTGAGGTTCCCCCGCCCAAGGGGAGGGAAGCAGCTTTTATCAGGATGCTCAGGAAAAAAACATGAGGTCGAAATGCCGTCGATGGACAACATCTTGGCATGTGGTTCACCCCATTGTTTGCAGGGCTTCTCAACTGGTGCAAAATGGATTTCGTCCATCCAAAGTATCACTTAGTTGAGCTTGGTTGGCATCAAGCATGGAATCCACAAAAGGGGGTCCTCCATGTAGGGTCGTTCCGGACCTTTGGCCCTGCTTGGTCCTGGGAATTTGCCACTTTGGTATCGCAGCCTAGTTTCCACGGTCTGAAGTGAAATTCCCCTCCTTCAGTCAGTTCGCATAGTTCTTTCCCTCCCTTTTCGTCCCGGCTCAAAAGCCCTTGTTTTTGAAATGGTTTTCGCGAAGGCCAAAAAATTGGCACATGTTCCACGGGCTGCAAACAAATGAAAACAAAAACGCCGACGACCGCAGGCCACGAAGCTCTTCCTGCGATCCGTGGGAACAAAGACCTCCCTGAACAAGCGCCCGCCTCATCTTGGCGTTTTGGGGGGCGGGCGTGGGGGGCGTTTTGGGCCGGTCTTTGGTGTCAGCTTCCCTCTTGGTGGAGCCCGGTGGAGCCCGGTGGTGTTCCGGAGGAAACCCTATCCTTCTACAAGAACCAGGGGTTCAAATCCCAAACCACCATCCAACCACCATTCAACCTACTCAAGGTTGGACCTTTTTGCTCAGGAAGAGCAACCCAGCAAAAGGAACCAGCTCAAAAGTGGGCTGGCGGACATGAATCCCCACCTGAATAATGTCCACCAAACGGTGCGGCTACAGCTGGAAGTAGATGGCGAATTTACTTCCCCCATTTTCTTTTGTTTAGTCATCCCATTTACTTGCTCACACAAAGGAAGCTGTGCCACTTGCTTTTGCCTTGGTGTAATTGTGAACAGGTTTCCTTTTGGGTGACATTCCAATGAACGCATACGGAGCCCATAGCAACCACCACAGTGCCCAAAACCGACTCCGGCCATGGCGACCATGGCGCTGTCAGCTTCTTTCGATGTGTGACGATTGCGTTTTCCTTTTGCCCTGATTTCGACGTGGGCTGCGGTAGGGACAGATCTCTTGAACCACACATTTGGGCCAGGTCAAGAGAAAAAGGACTAGCTGATTTAGAGGACCCGAAACGAATCCTGCAGCAGGTGGTTGGGCGTAGCCTCCTTCCAATCATCACCTTCAGTGGAGGATCCAAAGGAGCGTCGTTTTTTCCAATACCCTGCCGTTGTCAGCTTCCATTGGAGAGAGATGGCGTCCTACCGGAACGCCTTCAGCCGGGGGATGGGGCGGGAGGGGTGGGGGGGGGAGGGGGGGAGGGGTGCCGCGCGCCAAGGTCCCAGGAGAAGTTTCTAAAGTCCCAGTCCGCCTGGATGCAGGCGGGGCTTGAGGGGAATCCGGATGGGGAACAAGAGTAGTGGGGAGGGGGTCCCCCCCCACCCCAAAAAAAGGGTACGCTCAAAAAAGACACACCCCAAGACCACTTGTGCTTTCAATGGATAACTGCTCAATTAGCAGATGGTCTACACACCCACTACAAAAACGATGTGGGTTTCGCCCAAATCTTCAACAACCCCCAACGCGATGATCGCAGTGCATCCTTGGCCGACTTGAAAACGCGGAGGTCGCATGTTTTTTGTTGTTTTGATCTTCATAGCCCGTCCTTTGGACACGGAAATGGTGCTGGTGCTGGAGGAACTGATCGACTGGTTCCTTGCGGTTGTGCGAAGCACTGATTCGCTTCCATCTCTGGAACTGATTCGGCGAAAAGGTTTTTTGCCTGCCTTGGAAAGAAGCAAGTTCTTGGCTGGAAGAAAGCTCGGAGTTGAGCTTCCAGGACCGAGCGATCCCCCAGTTTCTGGCCATCCCAAAGCCGGCTTTGCAACTGGGGTCAGTCTTGGATGAACCAACAGGTCAGGAAAACGGTCGGGTTCTCATTTTACCTGGTAGAATGAAAGCCTAGGGTTCAGTTCGCGCGCAAGTGTCTCAGAGCCTCTGGATCAAACGGGACAGTAAACCCACCGCGCCAGTGTGGGGAAGCGGAGTTTCTCAAGCTGGTGAACCCCTTTTGGATTTCAAAGGGACTCAAGTAAGTGACCGGCTCCTGTTTTGGGGTAACACTCCCATATGGCAGTGGGTCAAAAATTGGTACCCAAAATGGAACCCTGGTAACTGCAACCAAAGGCTAAAACCTGCGTAAGCCTAGCTCTTGAATTTTGAGCCCATCTGATTTTGGAGGACTTTGTCACCTCTTCGCTGAACATTTTTCGGGAGAAACCATGGCAAGGACAAGGCGCAGATGACCTCGGAGAGCTCCTTCCTGGCGGGCCGGGGCGCGGCCGCCGCGCTTGGCGCGCGGATGTTTCGGGGCTGCGGGCCGCCGGGGCTTGGCCAAGAAGCTGAAGGCTTCAAAGGCTAAGGGGGCTGGCTTCGCGTGCGCGTGGGGGGGGGGGAAATGGGGGGGTTTAGTGTGGGTCAAAAGTCAAAGCCCGGTGTGGGTCGAAAGGGAAAGTCCGAGTTTTGCGTAGTCTCTGCTTCGGACCTTTGTTCCGGGGGCCGGGAGAAAAACGTCCTCGGCCAGGCAAGGGCCTAGACGACAACTCTAGAGGAAGCCGCATGACGCTGCCCATCATGGTGCGAGCCCAAGGATCTGGATGGACGCGAGATCATAACCGCACCACGAAATGAAACCATGGCTGAAGCCATGGTTTGCGGGTATTTACAGGGGGAATCCAATCTTTTTAGAGGTGGTGCAGGATTTCGTCCATCCACAGCATGTTTGATTCCGTGGTTCATTTTGAGGGTACGTGAGAAAAACACAATTCCCTCTAACAGTTCAGGGGAATTACTCAATTTTGCCGCGCATTCACATGGATGCAGTGTTCCCAGTATGTCTGTGCGAGTGAAGGAAGTACAGCCAAGAAGTCAGTGCGAGTGAAGGAAGTACAGCCAAGAAGTGGCAGCCGATGAAGCGAAATGCACGCCCGGATGGACACCAGGGTTATAGTGGCCAGATAAACATGTGGGTGTGGGTCAAAAATAGGTACCCAAAACGGAACCCTGGAAAAGGAAACCAGGACTAAAACCTGCGGTTCCCTGGTGGTATAATTTTGACCCATACCCATGTATCCATTTCGGGGAACGTCTTGGGTGCCGAATCCTAAACAGGGGTCCTCTAAACATGCTATTGGTTTGCGATAGGCAGGGTATGAGTTGGACCATTGGAATGACCCTGAGAAAAACCAGCCATCGCCAATGGTTTCCTGTAGATCCAAAGATCCGGTCCCTGCTGCCAAGTAGATTCTAGGTCCAGCGGCTGCAGAAGAAGGTGGACCAAGACTGGGAGGGATCCACGGTGGTCGTCAGCGCCACTGACCAGGCGAGGGGTGGCTGCGCAAAATGATGTTGAGCCAGGCACCGCAAGGAGTTGGCCGATTTTCCCACGAAATCTGCGTTTTTGGGCTAGACGATTTGGCCGACTGCCCGATTTGCTCTCTTAAAGATGGGCAGTGGGGGAGAAGGCGACTGCTGGAATTCCCCAAATTGGGGTGAAAGGCCAATAGTGATTCTGGGTCCGAAGTGACAGCCGAATCATAAGTCAAACGGGGCCCAAAAGTGAATTTGTGAACCAGCCACATTCAGGGGCCCAGTAAGGTTGCCCCACGAACTCGCGAAAACAGGAGGGAAGAGCAGTTCTGGATGGGCGAATCTATTCATCTTTGAAGTTGAGTCTCTATTTAAGTTGGCTGAATCGTTTTTTTGCAGTGTCACCCATGGGCCTGACGCGCCAAAGGACTTGTTGTGGTTTTTGTGCTGCCTGATCTGAGAGACGCCGCATGTGGCGGACTTTCCGAGAATTTGGAGCTCGCTTTGCTTCTGGAGCCCTTCGAACCTGTGAGAAGCATGCTCAAAAGTCGGCCGTCTCCTACCCCCCGTTTGTATCTACAGTATCAAAAAGAAACCCTGCGGTCCCAGCGAACCCCTGTGGGAGGAAACCCTGGGGTGAAGTTGCGTTTGCGCGCCAGGAGTCTCCAAATCCCCTGTTCTACAAGAACTTATGGCCCCTCGAGGCCACGGACTTGATACGTGTCTCGCAGGACTTGATCCAAGTTGCCTTCCACATGCACACCGTGGATTCTGAGAGAGGTGTGGTCGCGTGCGCCCGGGGGGAAGTTTTCTTTTTTTGTCCAGGCCGAAGGATACCAAGGCTTGAGATGCATTTTAGAAATCTGAGCAGCGTCCAACACTCGATTCTATTTGGCTTTATTGGTCTTATACAGAACTTATCTAGTGACCTGGAGATAGAACCCTACTAATATAGCAGTAAATCAGCTACTATTGGATTTAGTAGCGGCTAGTGCGGCTTATGTCGATGAGCTCTTAGTACAGAGCAGACTGACGCCTTGACGTGCGATCGGAAGCCGAATCGATGGACCGGAAGGAGCGCCAGAGGCCATGAAGTTGAGCCTCAGGCAGGTGGTCCACAGTCAATACCCGGGTAGATGAAGGTTAGTAAGGGACAATCCCGGCCAGAAATAGCTGCGCCTTCTGAATTCTTCACATACAGTCCCGAGTTTGACTGGGAGGGGTAAAGAGCGCCTCCCCCAAATGACGCCCTGTCTCGCCCACTCCCGAATTTGCGTGATCAACCGGTAGAGCATCTCCGGGCCTTTGGGGAAGAACACAAGGCACAATTTCATCATGGGGTTCTCAACTCCGTCCATGGGCAGTTGAGCCTTCAGAACCCGCCAGCTCGCTTCCGTAGGCCGAAGAACCGCGAGAACTCACGGAGCCAGGTACATGGGCGTCCTCTCCAAGGACGTGGATCTCGCCACGGGGCTGCGGAAGGCCAGCGAGCTTTGTCCAGGCAAGGTTCAGGTGTATGTAAGGATTTTGGTTTGGGGAACCAAAAAGGTTCTTTGACAAACGCATTTGCCAAGGGATGCCGGGTTTTTTGGAGCTTTTTGCCAACTAAGTCGGGTTTTCCGAATTAAACCACTAAAAGTTAAACGATTGGCAGGGGTAAGTCAACGAGTCAAGCAAGGGTGTAGAAGGACCCCCCGCCCCCCCATATTCAATGTTGCTTTGATGGGCTGTAAAGGTGGTGCAGGATTTTGTCCATTCAACTTGTTTGCGTTCAGCATGCTTTCAGCCCCCAATATTAAAAAGGGAGCGCGAGGGCGCGCAACCCAATGCTGCGACGGTGGTGCAGGATTCTGTCTACCCACCGTATGTACGTAGTCCTTTGACCTGATGTTGTTTGGGCTGTGATGTCAGTATCCCATGATTTCTGAGCACGAGCCAATGACGTTGGCATACCGGCGAATAGCAGTTCCAACTGAAACATGAATGGAGAGTAAGCAGTTCGGAAGGACCCTGAGACCAACATGCAATGTCATATTTATCGATTCAGGTTTGGTATGGTTGATACTTTGCTCATGGCTTCCCCAATCTGAAAGGAATGTCTAAGGTCCGTGGTTCACTTGCGTGAGTCCTGCTTTCGTCCTGCTTTACTATGCCCTCCCCAGGCCAACTGTGAAAAGTTCCTGTTTAGCCTTGGTTTTGGCCTGGGCTCAAGGTCGGCCAAGACTCATTTCGCCCTGCCAGTTCGCAAATTCGGGATTCCACGGCGCCCGGTGAAAAGACGTCGGTGTCAAGGTCTGAGTTTCGTCTGCCTTTCTTTGCGAAGGGCCTCAGCGAAGCACCCCTTGGAATGAGAAGATATGAAGAGATATCACAGAGAAGTGGGCTCAGGCTTGGGGAAACCACTTTCGATTCTTGCACACCCCAGTCACAGTCCCTGATTTAGGGGGAAACAGCTTTCTGCAGCGCACCCAATATCCCAGCGTAAGCCGTATAGTGCGACTTGTTTGAACACGATGATTGCCCATGAGTAATCTACTTGTTTGGACACATTTGGGTGGGTGCGTCTCAAAATAGGGGACCCATCAACACGTCTTTTGGCCGCTAAAGCAATCATCCCAAAAAAAGGGGCGGTGTCCGGTTCCGGGAAACTTCTTGGGCGTGCTTTTCTGAGGTTACCGTTTAGGTTGGTTCCAAGGGAAGCCGAAAGGAAAGCCATAGTTATTGTTTGCGTATTGGTTTCGCTAGTTCGACCAAACATATTTCGGTTCAGATTCAAACCAATTAGGTGTGGTTTTCGATTCGAGGGTACCTTTTAGGTTGGTTCCCCCTACTGTGGATGAACAAAATCCATTTCGCACCACTTTGAAACCACGGTCGAAACCAGAGGTTTCGTTGGTACTTACAGGAAGAATCATCATTCCGAGGTTTCGTAGGTGGTGCGAAATGGCCGTGGGTCAAAACCAATGGTACCATTTTGGGGTAGGTGCACCACCCATTTTAGAACCTATTTTAGTTGGGATTGGGATGTTCACTGGGGGCTAACCGGGCTTTTGACCGGCCAAATGGATTTCGTCCACTCTGAGTATTCCGAATCTTGGGTTTGGCTACCTCTCGCGTCAGCTTCTCTCGAGGTGAGCCAGCTCTGGGGAATGCAGCGGGACTTCAGCGACGAGCTCCCCGAACGGGATGCGCGATGCCCGGTGCTGGGGGGAGCGGGGAGCGGTGCGTTCCGGGGATCAAGGGCGGCTCTCGTTTATTTTTTTTGGTAAAGGGACCGCCCCTCCCTCCCAGACAAAAAAACGGATTTCGGGTTTCTTCTTGGTTTCCCTTTGATGCCACAAAAAGAAGAGGACCCTCAAAACAAGAGGAGCCCGGGAACCCAAAAGCAAACCAGCCTAACTCCCCACGGCATGTGGATCCCCTTGTTTTCCGGCTCAAGGGTCCGAAGGCAAACCAAGATTTAAGTTGTTCACAGTTGGGAAATCAACCCCAAAACAGGGAGCAACCGCGACTCAAGCCGGATTGGCAGCCAGCAGCCTATGCTCTGACCAAGCACAGAGAAAAAGGCAAAGGCACGGGTGAAACATGACAGGCCCCGCACTACATGGAAGGCACGAAGTCATCCGATTCATCATGAAGAACCAATCGCAGAAATCCGAAAATGGATCCGCACAAGCTACCACTCCCAAATTGGAAGCAAGGCATAAGCTCGCTCTACACCCATCTGAAACAAGTCTGAGACACAGTGTTACAACACGATCTGAGTAGACCGGGGTCAGCTGTTCGGATGTTCATGCGCCCTTATGTTGGGGCCGAGTGTGCTCAGCATATTCATGTCAACGTGCTTCCAGGCTGCTTCCAAATAAGTAGGGCGAGTCCCAAGAGGCCACAGACTCTGAAGAGAGGGTTCGTCCTAGAAACACATTGGCGCCATTTGTTCGGGTCAGGTGTGCGGCAAAAAGGACAATTTTGGCGTGCCTGGAACGCCGGGCTGTTCACATGGAGCCGTGCACGTGGCCTTCACAAACTTGCTTCGTTTGCTTGCTTGGATTCGTTAGTTTCTCCACCTATTTTCCCATTCGCAACCAATGGCAACTGGTGACTTTGTGGAAAGGGCCGCGCACGTTGTCAATTGGATGCGTGTGGATGGCAAGTTGGGTGGATTCGCCGCAGGTGTGTGGCCGGCGCTGCGCTTTTGCGGGGGGCTCGGTGTGGACAAGCCTCGATCACTTGGTGGACACAGTGTTACCACGATCTGTGTAGACCGGGGTCAGCTGTTCGGATGTTCATGCGCCCTTTTGTTTGGGCCGAGTGTGCTCAGCATATTCATGTCAACGTGCTTCCAGGCTGCTTCCAAATAAGTAGGGCGAACCCCGAGGCCACAGCTTCTGAAGAGAGGGTTCGTCCTAGAAACACATTGGCACCATTTGTTCGGGTCAGGTGTGCGGCAAAAAGGACAATTTTGGCGCACCGGGAACGCCGGGCTGTTCACATGCAGCCGTGCACGTGGCCTTCACAAACTTGCTTCGTATGCTTGCTTGGATTCGTTAGTTTCTCCACCTATTTTCCCATTCGCAACCAATTGCAACTGGTGACTTTGTGGAATGGGCCGCACACGTTGTCAATTGGATGCGTGTGGATGGCAAGTTGGGTGGATTCGCCGCAAGTGTGTGGAGACGGGGCCGGCGCTGCGCTTTTGCGGGGGGCTCGGTGTGGACAAGCCTCGGTCACTTGGTGGGCGAAACAAGTCTGAGACACAGTGTTACCACGATCTGCGTAGACCGGGGTCAGCTGTTCGGATGTTCATGCGCCCTTTTGTTTGGGCCGAGTGTGCTCAGCATATTCATGTCAACGTGCTTCCAGGCTGCTTCCAAATAAGTAGGGCGAACCCCAAGAGGCTACAGCTTCTGAAGAGAGGGTCCGTCCTAGAAACACATTGGCACCGTTTGTTCGGGTCAGGTGTGCGGCAAAAAGGACAATTATGGCGTACCTGGAGCGCCGGGCTGTTCACATGGAGCCGCGCACGTGGCGGTTGCCGCATGTCATGAGCGTCCACCTCCACCGCGCCAGTCTCGCTCGCCGGCATGTCACGAGCGTCCACCACGCCAGTCTCGCTCGCAACCGGTTTCCGCATGTCACAAGCGTCCACCGCGCCAGTCTCGCTCGCGGGCGGTTTCCGCATGTCACGAGCGTCCACCGCGCCAGTCTCGCTCGCGGGCGGTTTCCGCATGTCACGAGCGTCCACCGCGCCAGTCTCGCTCGCGGGCGGTTTCCGCATGTCACGAGCGTCCACCGCGCCAGTCTCGCTCGCGGGCGGTTTCCGCATGTCACGAGCGTCCACCGCGCCAGTCTCGCTCGCGGGCGGTTTCCGCATGTCACGAGCGTCCACCGCGCCAGTCTCGCTCGCGTGCGGTTTCCGCATGTCACGAGCCTCCACCGCGCCAGTCTCGCTCGCGGGCGGTTTCCGCATGTCACGAGCGTCCACCGCGCCAGTCTCGCTTGCAAACCGTTTCCGCATGTCACGAGCGTCCACCGCGCCAGTCTCGCTCGCGGGCGGTTTCCGCATGTCACGAGCGTCCACCGCGCCAGTCTCGCTCGCGGGCGGTTTCCGCATGTCACGAGCGTCCACCGCGCCAGTCTCGCTCGCGGGCGGTTTCCGCATGTCACGAGCGTCCACCGCGGCAGTCTCGCTCGCGGGCGGTTTCCGCCTGTCACGAGCCGCCGCGCCAGTCTCGCTCGCGGGCGGTTTCCGCCTGTCACGAGCGTCCGCCGCGCCAGTCTCGCTCGCGGGCGGTTTCCGCCTGTCACAAGCCACCGCGGGAGTCTCGCTCGCGGGCGGTTTCCGCATGTCACGAGCGTCCACCGCACCAGTCTCGCTGTCTCGCTCAGGGGCGGTTTCCGCATGTCACGAGCGGTCACTGCGCCAGTCTCGCTCGCGGGCGGTTTCCGAATGTCACGAGCGTCCACCGCGCCAGTCTCGCTCGCGGGCGGTTTCCGCATGCGGGCGGTTTCCGCATGTCACGAGCGCCCACCGCGCCAGTCTCGCTCGCGGGCGGTTTCCGCATGTCACGAGCGTCCACCGCGCCAGTCTCGCTCACGGGCGGTCTCCGCATGTCACGAGCGTCCACCGCGCCAGTCTCGCTCGCGGGCGGTTTCCGCATGTCACGAGCGTCCACCACGCCAGTCTCGCTCGCGGGCGGTTTTCGCATGTCACGAGCGTTCCACCGCGCCAGTCTCGCTCGCGGGCGGTTTGCGAATGTCACGAGCGTCCACCGCGCCGGTTTGCGCATGTCACGAGCGTCCACCGCGCCAGTCTCGCTTGCGGGCGGTTTCCGCATGTCACGAGCGCAGTCTCGCTCGCGGGCGTTTTCCGCATGTCACGAGCGTCCACCGCGCCGGTCTCGCTCGCGGGCGGTTTCCGCATGTCACGAGCATCCACCGCGCCAGTCTCGCTCGCGGGCGGTTTCCCATGTCACGAGCGTCCACCGCGCCAGTCTCGCTTGCGGGCGGTTTCCGCCTGTCACGAGCGTCCACCGCGCCAGTCTCGCTCGCGGGCGGTTTCCGCATGTCACAAGCGTCCACCGCGCCAGTCTCGCTCGCTGGCGGTTTCCGCATGTCACGAGCGTCCACCGCGCCAGTCTCGCTCGCGGGCGGTTTCCGCATGTCACAAGCGTCCACCGCGCCAGTCTCGCCGCGGGCGGTTTCCGCGTGTCACAAGCGTCCACCGCGCCAGTCTCGCTCACGGGCGGTTTCCGCTCACGAGCGTCCACCACGCCAGTCTCGCTCGCGGGCGGTTTCGGCATGTCACGAGCGTCCACCGTGCCAGTCTCGCTCGCGGGCGGTTTCCGCCTGTCACGAGCGTCCACCGCGCCAGTCTCGCTCGCGGGCGGTTTACGAGCGTCCACCGCGCCAGTATCGCATGTCACGAGCGTCCACCGCGCCAGTCCAGTCTCGCTCGCGGGCGGTGTCCGCATGTCCACCGCGCCAGTCTCGCTCGCGGGCGGTTTCTCCATGTCACGAGCGTCCACCACGCCAGTCTCGCTCGCGGGCGGTTTCCGCAGGTCACGAGCGTCCACCGCGCCAGTCTCGCTCGCGGGCGGTTTCCGCATGTTCCACCGTCCGCATGTCACGAGGGTCCACCGCGCCAGTCTCGCTCGCGGGCGGTTTCTCCATGTCACAAGCGTCCACCACGCCAGTCTCGCTCGCGGGCGGTTTCCACAGGTCACGAGCGTCCACCGCGCCAGTCTCGCTCGCGGGCGGTTTCCGCATGTTCCACCGCGCCAGTCTCGCTCGCGGGCGGTTTCCGCATGTCACGAGCGTCCACCGCGCCAGTCTCGCTCGCGGGCGGTTTCCGCATGTCACCATTTTTCGCTCGCGGGCGGTTTCCGCATGTCACGAGCGCGCCAGTCTCTCTCGCTCGCGGGCCAGCGTCGCGCACCCAGTCTGCACCACACCGCCGTCCCACCAGCCAGCCCCACACCGCCGTCCCCCCAGCCAGCCTCGTACGCCCGGTCTGCACCCCCAGCCGGCATCGCACGCCCGGTCTGCAGCACAACGAAATGGAAATCCCTTCTTATCTCCGTCGTCACAGCTTGTATCGCTCCCAGGCACCTTAAGAGAAAACCTAAAGCAGAACCCAAGCATCAGAGATGCTTTTGGGAAAAAAATTAGGAGCTCAGCATATTCATTCATGTCAACGTGCTTCCAGGCTGCTTCCAAATAAGTAGGGCGAACCCCAAGAGGCCACAGACTCTGAAGAGAGGGTTCGTCCTAGAAACACATTGGCGCCATTTGCTCGGGTCAGGTGTGCGGCAAAATAAGTAGGGCGAACCCCAAGAGGCCACAGACTCTAAAGTCCTAGAAACACATTGGCGCCATTTGCTCGGGTCAGGTGTGCGGCAAAAAGGACAATCTTGGCGCGCGGTGAACGCCGGGCTGTTCACATGAGCCGTGCACGTGGCCTTCACAAACTTGCTTCGTAAGCTTGCTTGGATTCGCTAGTTTCTCCACCGATTTTCCCATTCGCAACCAATTGCAACTGGTGACTTTGTGGAAAGGGCCGCGCACGCTGTCAATTGGATGCGTGTGGATGGCAAGTTGTGTGGAGACGGGGCCGGCGCTGCGCTTTTGCGGGGAGGCTCGGTGTGGACGATCCTCGGTCATTTGGTGGGTCTGACGTCTGTCCGAAACAAGTCTGAGACACAGTGTTGCCACGATCTGCGTAGACCGGGGTCAGCTGTTCGGATGTTCATGCGCCCTTTTGTTTGGGCCGAGCGTGCTCAGCATATTCATGTCAACGTGCTTCCAGGCTGCTTCCAAATACGTAGGGCGAACCCCAAGAGGCTACACCTTCTGAAGAGAGGGTTCGTCCTAGAAACACATTTGCACCATTTGTTCGGGTCAGGTGTGCGGCAAAATAAGTAGGACGAACCCCAAGAGGCCACAGCTTCTCAAGACAGGGTTCGTCCTAGAAACACATCGGCACCCTTTGTTCGGGTCAGGTGTGCGTCAAAAAGGACAATTTTGGCGCACCTGCAACGCCGGGCTGTTCACATGGAGCCGCGTGGCCTTCACAAACTTGCTTCGTATGCTTGCTTGGATTCGTTAGTTGCTCCACCTATTTTCCCATTCGCAACCCAACTGGTGACTTTGTGGAAAGAGCCGCGCACGTTGTCAATTGGATGCGTGTAGATGGCAAGTTGGGTGGGAGGGGGCCGGCGCTGTGCTTTTGCGGGGGGCTCGGCGTAGACAAGCCTCGGTCACTTGGTGGTCTGACGCCTGTCCGAAACAAGTCTGAGACACAGTGTTACCACGATCCGCGTAGACCGGGGTTAGCTGTTCGGATGTTCGTGCGCCCTTTTGTCTGGGCCGCGTGTGCTCAGCATATTCATGTCAACCTGCGTCGAGGCTGCTTCCAAATAAGTAGGGCGACCCCCAAGAGGCCACAGCTTCTCAAGAGAGTCCTAGAAACACATTGGCGTTTGTTCGGGTCCTGTGTGCGGCAAAAAGTGCGGGGGCTCGGTGTGGACAAGCCTCGGTCACTTGGTGGGTCTGACGCCTGTCTGAAACAAGTGTGAGACACAATCTGCGTAGACCGGGGTCAGCCGTTCGGATGTTCGTATGCCCTTTTGTTTGGCCGAGTGTGCTCAGCATAAACATTTTCAACGTGCTTCCAGGCTGCTTCCAAATAAGTAGGGCGAACCCCAAGAGGCCACAGCTTCTCAAGAGAGGGTTCGTCCTAGAAACACATCGGCGCCATTTGTCTCGCTCGAGGGCGGTTTCCGCCTGTCACGAGCGTCCCCCGCGCCCGTCTCGCTCGGGGGCGGTTTCTGCCTGTAGCGTCCCCCGCGCCCGTCTCGCTCGGGGGCGGTTTCGGCCTGTCACGAGCGTCCCCGCGCCCGTCTCGGGGGCGGTTTCCGCTTGTCGCTTGTCACGAGCGTCCACCGCGCCAGTCTCGCTCGCGGGCGGTTTCCGCACGTCACGAGCGTCCACCGTGCCAGTCTCGCTCCAGTCTCGCCACAGGGCGGATTCCCCCGAGGGGCGGTTTTTCGTTTCGGCCTGTCACGAGCGTCCCCCCGCTCACTAGCGTCCCCAACCCGCCCCTCTCGCTCGGGGGCGGTTTCGGCCTGTCCACGAGCGTCCCCCGCGCCCGTCTCGCTCGGGGGCGGTTTCGGCCTGTCACGAGCGTCCCCCGCGCCCGTCTCGCTCGGGGGCGGTTTCGGCCTGTCACGAGCGTCCCCCGCGCCCGTCTCGCTCGGGGGCGGTTTCGGCCTGTCACAAGCGTCCCCCGCGCCCGTCTCGCTCGGGGGCGGTTTCCGCTTGTCACGAGCGTCCACCGCGCCAGTCTCGCTCGGGGGCGGTTTCGGCCTGTCACGAGCGTCCCCCGCGCCCGTCTCGCTCGGGGGCGGCTTCGGCCTCACGAGCGTCCCCCGCGCCCGTCTCGCTCGGGCGCCCGTCTCGCTCGGGGGCGGTTTCGGCCTGTCACGAGCGCCCCCCGCGCCCGTCTCGCTCGGGGGCGGTTTCGGCCTGTCACGAGCGTCCACCGCGCACGTCTCGCTCGAGGGCGGTTTCCGCCTGTCACGAGCGTCCGCCGTGCCCGTCTCGCTCGAGGGCGGTTTCGGCCTGTCACGAGCGTCCCCCGCGCCCGTCTCGCTCGGGGGCGGTTTCGGCCTGTCACGAGCGTCCCCCGCGCCCGTCTCGCTCGGGGGCGGTTTCGGCCTGTCACGAGCGTCTCCCGCGCCCGTCTCACTCGGGGGCGGTTTCGGCCTGTCACGAGCGTCCCCCGCGCCCGTCTCGCTCGGGGGCGGTTTCCGCTTGTCTCGAGCGTCCCCCGCGCCCCGTCTCGCTCGGGGGCGGTTTCGGCCTGTCACGAGCGTCCCCCGCGCCCGTCTCGCTTGGGGGCGGTTTCGGCCTCACGAGCGTCCCCCGCGCCCGTCCTCGCTCGGGGCGGTTTCCGCTTGTCACGAGGTCCACCGCGCCAGTCTCGCTCGTGGGCGGTTTTCGGCCTGTCACGGAGCGTTCCCCCTGCGCCCGTGCCGCTCGATCGGATCGCCTGTCACGAGCGCCCCCCGCGCCCGTCTCGCTCGGGGGCGGTTTCGGCCTGTCACGAGCGTCCACCGCGCACGTCTCGCTCGAGGGCGGTTTCCGCCTGTCACGAGCGTCCGCCGTGCCCGTCTCGCTCGAGGGCGGTTTCGGCCTGTCACGAGCGTCCCCCGCGCCCGTCTCGCTCGGGGGCGGTTTCGGCCTGTCACGAGCGTCCCCCGCGCCCGTCTCGCTCGGGGGCGGTTTCGGCCTGTCACGAGCGTCTCCCGCGCCCGTCTCACTCGGGGGCGGTTTCGGCCTGTCACGAGCGTCCCCCGCGCCCGTCTCGCTCGGGGGCGGTTTCCGCTTGTCTCGAGCGTCCCCCGCGCCCCGTCTCGCTCGGGGGCGGTTTCGGCCTGTCACGAGCGTTTCTGCATGTCACAAGCGTCCCCCGCGCCAGTCTCGCTGGGGGGCGGTTTCGGCCTGTCACGAGCGTCCCCCGCGCCCGTCTCGCTCGGGGGCGGTTTCGGCCTGTCACGAGTGTCCCCCGCGCCCGTCTCGCTCGGGGGCGGTTTTGGCCTGTCACGAGCGTCCCCCGCGCCCGTCTCGCTCGGGGGCGGTTTCGGCCTGTCACGAGCGTCCCCCGCGCCCGTCTCGCTTTCGGCCTGTCACGAGCGTCCCCCGCGCCCGTCTCGCTCGGGGGCGGTTTCCGGTTGTCACGAGCGTCCACCGCGGCAGTCTCGCTCGCGGGCGGTTTCCGCATGCCCCGAGCGTCCACCGCGCCAGTCTCGCTCGGGGGCGGCTTCCGCCTGTCACGAGCGTGCCCCGCGCCCGTCTCGCTCGGGGGCGGCTTCCGCTTGTCACGAGCGTCCACCGCGCCAGTCTCGCGCACCCAGCCAGCCCCACACCGCCGTCCCCCCAGCCAGCCTCGTACGCCCGGTCTGCACCCCCAGCCGGCATCGCACGCCCGGTCTGCAGCACAACGAAATGGAAATCCCTTCTTATCTCCGTTGTCACAGCTTGTATCGCTCCCAGGCACCTTAAGAGAAAACCTAAAGCACGCAAAAGCCAGATAACGAACTACCAGTAAAACTAAGGGCAAGAAAAAACAAACAAAATAAGCAACAAAACACATACACACAATGTAGAGAATAACTCAATGCGCCGTGCGCGTCGTGTGCGCCACCTGTGCCACCTCCGCCGTCCCCCGCAGCGGAGTTGAGCCAGCCCACTAAGGCTCCCGCCGACCTCCCGCTCCCCTCGCTGCTGCCCCCGACCGTCTTCTGCCCCCCCCCACCCCTCTCCCACGCCACGTCCCCCCCGCACACCGCGTCAGCAAAATGTCCCCCCACTCCGCCCCACCAGCCCACAAGCCCACATTTCCCCGAAGCCCAAGATCATACAGAGTAACTCTATGCAAAGATAGGGCGTGACCATGGGTTTTGAGCCCCGATAGTTCTATGAACAACACACCCCAGCACTCATCCACCTCACAACTCACTTCCTTCATACTCGCAAAGTCTTATGGCTGAACAAACATTTCCTCGGCCTCCACAGACCCGGCCGACGGGTCGGGGCCGGGTCTGAGGTGAGGGGTCCCTTGTTTCACGTGAAACAGAGGGTTCTTCTGCCCAGGGTACTTTTTGACTACAAGTTAGACTTAAACCCAGGGGTCGTTTTGGGGAGAATGAAAAAAATCCACCCCTGGGTTTAAGTCTATGGTGGTAGTCACTGCCAGTTGCCATTGGGAGCTTTGAGAATCCGACACTTTTCTGCGAGCTTGCCCTAAGTGAGGAAGTGGGCGGGGGTCTATCCAGCATCTCCGAGAGCCTTCCCAATCCAACCCCAAATCCCTGTTCCCTCCAAACTGTCCCAAAAGGGATAGTTTGGAGGGGGCGGTTTCTCGTTGACCTGCAAGGACATTTGAACCGCCTGGAAGGTGAGTCTTATCTTTCTAAAGGCTGCCTGCAATCATGTTGCAATAATGTGGCAACAAGCTCGCCCCGGAGAGTTTACAACAAGTACAAGCAAAGGCGTTTCGCGAGGTTTTTGTTTTTTTGCATGTGTCAGCTTGTTTGAAACTTCTGCCCATGAAGTAAGCTTTGAGCAACAAACAAATATTTGCATGTGTGAGTTTGTGTCGTCCCTAGAGTTTCTAGTTAGCGATCAGCAAAGGAAACCTTAGTACCTCTGCTGCAAGACACAGGACACCATAAACCACATGACAGCAACTTCGGATTAGCAAGTCAAGGGGCCATTTTCCCCAATGGATGTTGCCGCTATGCAGATTCCGGGTCAAGAATTGATTTTTGGGCAATGCCTTTGTTGAATTGTGGGGCTCGCTCCCTTTGTCCTGTTGGCCTAATGGGAACCCAGGATGAATGACCCCCTTGGTTGATTCAGGAGGGGTTGGCCCAGTTTAGAGGGGATGCTCCATTCTTTTTTTGGGGATGCGTCATTCTCCTTTTGGGGATGCTTCATTCTCCTTTTGGGGCACGAAGCAAACATCTTGCACCCAGCAGGGGTCAGCCCCCCGTTCTTTTGGGTGGATGCGTCTTTCTCCTCAAAACGGGCACGCTACACACATCTTTCACGGTTGACCCCCGTTTGGTCGACAGGCCGAGCCCGGGGAGAACAGCTGGATGTTCTTCCTGCTGGCGCCCAAGTGGGTGAAGATGCGGCCCACCGACGCCTTCTACACCGTTCATCCCCGGTCCCAGGCCCCCGAGCAGCGAGCTCCACGGCTGGCTTTTGAAGGGCTTCTGGTCTTGGATCGGCAAGGCAAAAAACGGCTCTTCCTTTTCTCGCCACGCCTGACTTGCACCTGTTTTTCTAGTTTCTTTTTTTTTGGAGCTTGACTTTCCAGAACGAGCTCCGTCTAAAGCCGACTGACCCGAACCGTGACGCCAACTTCTCGTGGGAATTTCCTTCGCGCGTGCGGCCGGCTGCCGCGGACGCAGGGCTCCGCTTTCCGGATGAGCACCGCCGGCTCCAGCGAGCGAGCCTAAGAGCGGGGATGGGGGTTTGGGGTTGGGGATGGACGGGGGATGTCTTCATTATGATTTTTTTTCCATTTCGGGACCCACTAGAAAGACCTGGAGAAAAGGCGGTTTGGAGGTATGTTCATGCCTCCTTTTGGTTGTTTCCCAAACTGGGATGATCCTGAAAATGGGTTCTCTCCTTGTGGGTTCCCGTGAAATCGCCCAATATTGGTTTGCCATGCTGAGAAGCCATGGATGTGTACTTTGAGGGTAGCTCTCGGCTGTTTTAGGTGGGAGCAACATTGAACACTCCATTTTGCGAAACGTGGTCGCACATTTTGAGACGGAGCCCCTATTCCAACCGTATTTTGGTTGGGTGCCCCGCTTTTTCTGTTGGGGCTTGAAAGGGAAGCCTGTTTGGACACTTCTCGGTGCCAAAAGGCGTGTCTTGCTTTGAGGGCGCCAAATTTTGGGTTGGTTTCGGGGGGATCCAAAGGGAAACCTCACCATCTTTGGGGTCCGGGTCCCAAAACAAGACACACCCAAATCTATCCCCGTTGCCCTGAAGGCCCGGCCGGAGTCATCCCAAGTGATTCTGATTTTTTGGAGTCAGAGCCGAGGCGCTTTCGGTGGTTCGTTGATTTTCTGGCTGGTGCGATAGGTAGAAAATGACCGAGTCCAGGTGTTGGGAATGAACCGGAAAGGGGACTCCCTCAAAGGCAATCACAAGGGACTTTTTTTTGGGGCCATTCCAACTCATTTCCAGCCAATCGCACCAGCATGTTTTGGAGCCTTCAATGCATAAAGGTTTTGGGACGCCACCTTTGCAGAACCCAGCGCAACTCAAGACTTTTGGCTTTGGGGCTGTATTCACTACCACCGCGATTTAGTTTCTCTGCTTGCAAGTTGAACGTATTTTAGCACTGCGAAGCTCTCAACAACTTGTTGGAGTTGATTCTGCCTATCGCGACCCTTCATTTGACCCAGCCAGTAGACTGATGGATGATGATCCCGTCGGCTGAGGTATTGCTCTCACTGGGTTCTTCGGTGCTGGAGTCGCACGAGACGCCTCGAAAGAAGGCGCAGAGCGGCCGGAATTGCAGCATGGGTGTGTTGTCAAAGATAGGTACCCCAAAAGGGAAGGAACAAGAACTAGAAGCTGCAGTTCCCTGGTGTTAGTTTTTTGACCCACGCCCATTTATTCCGGATGAGTTGTCAAGGTTCATTGGTTCATGCGAGGGTTCGGCCAACACTTTTCGGTGTTCTATCGACACCAATGCGCGATTTTTCCGGGGACGCAACTCATTCTTCCACGCCCACAGAAAGCCCACGATCGCCTCAGAAAACGGCCTGACAAGGGTTTCCAACCCGGCGCCGGGTCGTTTTTTTTTTTTTTTTCCCAAAGCGGGGTTTTCAACCATCAACGGACACTTTCTCTGTGCGCCGGATTCTGGGCTGCAAAAAACTTGTAGAAGCGCAAACGGGGTCATCCTGTGCCGAGGCGGATCCGTCTCCACGTGCAGTCAGCTCACAATCTTCCAGGGTGCGTTTCTGAGAGTGACATGTCGTGATGCCCGCACCACTTGAAGCCACGCTTTACATTGATAGACACACATTTTCCTTCTGCCAAGTCCTCGTGAGCAGAAATGATGAATGTGAAGTAAGCGAAAGTCAAAGGCAGTGGGGCCAGTGGTTGCAGATCTGGCAGCATGAATCGGCCAGAGCTGGCATCAATGCAAACAACATGGGCTGAGGCATACGAGCCAACAAGGAGCTCTTGATGCCAGTCTTGCTCTTCACTGTCACTGCTTCATTTGAGCCGTGAATCAAAATCCGGGGAATGTGAAGGTGATACTGTGGATGGACGAAATCCTCCACCTAAGAAACCCTGGAATGATGGTTCCCCTGTACATACTCAACTAACAACGGCTTCCTATAAATTCAAAGTGGTGCAGAATTTCGTCCATCCACGTATACCAAGGGACAGCTGCTAGTTCCAGCGTTTGGTTGTGCTTCATTTGCTCGGCTTGGAAGTAAGTTGCAGGAGTCAGGCCCTCTCTGACTATCCGAAGGTTGACTTGGCCCTCATTGAGCAGGCACCCGTCGTGAGTTGGGGCTGGTGTGTGGCGAGTTGGGGTTGCGATTGCAGGGTGAAATTTCGGCGCCGTCTCTCAGCTTTCTGAACTTTCAGATCAAGCCATTGCAATACCAGAGCGATATAACGAATTGCTCCATGAGGATGCCACCAACGCTGCACACTGGACATCTTAACACAAAACAGGGCAGCACAGCATCACACCACGCAGCAGGTGACCAAACCACACAATGCGACACAACACAACACACACATGACAAACAAACACAACACATGACAAAACAGCGCACGGACAGGCATTATTCACCTGGACTTTTTAAATTCATTGTCCGCATAAGGCAACCACGAGGCAAGGGGACCTGCGCTGGTTGCTGGGAATGCACGATACTTTTTGTATCCATGAGGAACATGGGGGTACCTTCTGGTTGCCCATAAAAACTCAAGGTTACAGGGGGTACCTTTAAAAACTTGGTGCTAGTTCCCAGCCATCCTCCGAGGCTGTTGGCTTGTTAGGGTTTAGTGGTTAGGTTTCCATTTGGGTCAACAATAGGTACCCAAAATGAATCCCGGGCAAATAGAACCAAGGACTAAATGGTGGTTTAATTTTGACCCATACCCATTTCTTGGGTTTAGTGGTTGGGTTCAGTGGTCGGTTTTTGGCTTCTTAGGGTTTAGTGGTTCGCCCGCGAAAAGCGCTGAGCTTGCAGCCGTGGGACCTGCGGACAACCCGCCAGGCCGTCAGCTCGCTGCCGGCAATCAAAGAGAGCCGGGCCCCCCGAAGCTTGGCCAGTTTCGGAGGCTAGGCCCCCCAGCTAGGTGCCCCCTTTCTCACCCCTTTTTTGGGTGGGAGGGTTCCCCTACTAAAATAGACTACAGAAAAAAAAGGGTGCCAACTTATTCTAACCTGTCTACTGGAGGACCCAGGAGGGGCAAGAGGTGTTGCGCAGATATTGTACACATTGGTTTGAGATGATAGTGGTAGCACTGGTGCTAGTAATAGCGATAGCGATGGTTGTAGTAGTAGTAGTAGTAGTAGTAGTAGTAGTAGTAGTAGTAGTAGTAGTAGTAGTAGTAGCAGCAATAGGCGTAGTAAGCATAATAGTAACAACAGTAATCATGATGCTAACAATGAAATATGCTGTGTTATGCTATGTTATGCTATGTTATGCTATGCTACGTTATGCTGTATTATGCTATGTTCTGGTACGGTATGGTATGGTATGTATTACATCAGTATATAAACATTTGCAGAATCAACCTTGCTCATATACATGTTGTGCTCAAGCGCACATGTGCACGCATAGATTTATGCAACCCGCAGGCAACCATGTTTTGGTGGTATTCGTCGACATTGCTGGCTTACTTTCAGCATTGTCTCGGACACAGGTTGAAATCGCCGGATGGCAAGAAGTGGCAAGAAGTGGAGGGGGTTTTCGGGCCAAATATTGTGGCATTGACTCGAGGGCAAAGTGGAGCTTTGGGAAGATTGGACCCCGGAATTGCTTGACATGTGGACATGGTCACGTATTTGGACCCAACAGGGGTTTCGCAGGTTTTGCTTTGGATCTCGGTTTTTTGCCCCGGGTCAATAAGACGGCTGAAACGCAGACGGTTGCCTCAGGTCGCGGGGATGCGCGGCCAGCTGAGAGTTGAGTCGAGTAGCTTGTAGGGTGTCTCAAACCAGTGAACATCCGTTGGGCAAGGGTTTTGTTCTTTCTAAGGGTTGATTCCCCATTCTCTTCACCCATCGTTCTCTTTAGAAACCACCCATTTTCCCAGATTTGGCCTGTTATTTGAAGAGAAGGATCCCTGAAGAGAATGGGGAAGGTACGGCTACTTCTTTTTGAACAAAAGGAAGCCCTGAATTCTTTCTGAGGGCCCCCTACTTTAGGACAGGGTTGGGTAGGGCTCGGTGCAAGCCACATGTGTTTCGGGAGCTGTCGGAATACCCAATGAACCCGGTGCGATGCGTCTGGGTAGCCCGCCGCGCCGAAAGAAGGCAGCAGCGGATAGGATTTCACCCCGCATTGCCGGAGGCCTCGTGGTGGTTCAGCCCCTTCTCAGACAGCCAGGGTTCAACGCAGTTGGATTTCGGATTTCCGCTGTGGCAATGAAAGATTGTCAAACGATTCGCCGTCTCAAAGAGACAGGACATGCTCTGCAGTGGAAAAGGTGGAGTGCATGGAAGGCGATGCGCTCTTGGCTTTGCAATCCTTCGGTGAGGCACTTGTCCGCCCGCTGCAACAGTTGGCTTGAATCATGAGCAACAGTTGGATCATCATGCACACACAGACGGACGGGACCGCCTTCACATCATGTCTTTGGTCACATGAATAAGCCAACACAGACGAAAAACGACACGTGCGAGCACATCGAGTTTCAACGCGCTGGGCTTTGCGAGACCGTGGCCCAGGAGCACTGGGCGTGCGTCTCTGTCTCCGAGGTGACCAAAAGCGCGCGCACAGATAGGGCACATCACATAGATTGAATCAAGGCGAAGGTTTTGCCTAAACTTGAGTGCTCCAGACATGTACATACATGTACATACACACACACACACATACATTCATTCATTCATTCATTCATTCATTCATTCATTCATTCATTCATTCATTCATTCATTCATTCATTCATTCATCCATCCATCCATCCATCCATCCATCCATCCATCCATCCATGCATTCCTTCGTTTGTTTGTTCGTTCGTTCGTTCGTTCGTTCGTTCATTCATTCATTCACACACACATACATACATGCATGCATACATACATATACATACACATATACAGACACACACAAATATATATATATATACACACATGCATACATACATACATACATACATACATACATACATACATACATACATTACATACATACCATAACATACATACTATACATACATACATATATACATACATTACATACATTACATACATACATACATACATACATACATACATACATACATACATACATACATACATACATACATACATACATACATACATACATACATACATACATACATTACATACATACATACATACATACATACATACATACATAACAGACATACATACATACATACAAAACATACATACATACATACATACATACATACATACATACATACACAAGAACGAAGGAATGAAATTAAAAAAGAAATATATAGGTTTGTTTTTTGATTTTTGGTTTTTTTTTGTTGGGGGGTTTTGGGTTTTTGTTGGGGTGTGGGGGGGGTGGTGGGGGGGGGGGGGGTGTGGGGGTTGGGTTGTTTGTGGTTTGTTGTTGTTGTAGGTGTAGGTTGGAGTGCGATTCGGTATGTTGTATGTGTATTGTGTTATGTGTATGTGAGGTGGATGTTTATTGTGTATTGGTGGTTAGGGATGGGGGGGGGGATGATAGGTTGGATTGGGGGGATATGAGAAGATTTTAGAGATTATGTATTGAATGGAGGAATTGTGGTTGTAAGAAGTGAGGGGGATGCGGAATGTTGGGAAAATAAAGTTTGTTCAGAGCAAGGAAGGTGAAAAGGGGAGGTGGTGAAGTGTAGGTAGGTGTGAGGGGGATGGAAAGGAAATCACAGGAGGCTGTGGGATCTCAGTTTGCATGGGGCCGAGTACCCATCCTCCGTGTTAATGGAGGCGGTGGCCCGAGGGCGGATAGCCCCCATACATCGGTGTGGTTTACTCGGAGTCGCCAAGATCGAGAGTCGCTTGACGGAGTCCGAGAACCAGTGGAGTCTGTGGAAACGGGTCAGACAGACCCAAACCCTGCTGCGGCTCGGTCTTGTGAAGAGTGTCATCTGGAAACATACATATACATATACACATACACATATACACATACACATACACATATACATACATATACACATACACATACACATATACATACATATACACATACACATCTACATACATATACACATACACATATACATACATATACACATACACATTTACATACATATACACATACACATATACATACATATACACATACACATATACATACATATACACATACACACACATATCATACATATACACATACACATATACATACATATACACATACACATACACATATCATACATATACACATATACATACATATACACATACACATATACATACATATACACATACACATATACATACATATACACATACACATATACATACATATACATATACACATACACATATACATACATATACACATACACATATACATACATATACACATACACATACACATATCATACATATACACATACACATAATACATAACATATGAACACATAACACATCATACAAGCATATACATATACACATAACCATACATATATACATACACACCCATATCAAATACATAATACACATACACATAATACATCTGGAACATTTACATATACACATACACATATACATACATATACACATACACACACATATCATACATATACACATACACATATACATACATATACACATACACATATACATACATATACACATCCACATACACATATCATACATATACACATACACATATACATACATATACACATACACATATACATACATATACACATACACATACACATATCATACATATACACATACACATATACATACATATACACATACACATATACATACATATACACATACACATATACATACATATACACATACACACACATATCATACATATACACATACACATATACATACATATACACATACACATATACATACATATACACATCCACATACACATATCATACATATACACATACACATATACATACATATACACATACACATATACATACATATACACATACACATACACATATCATACATATACACATACACATACACACACACATACACATACACATACACATGCACATGCGCATGCACATACACATACATACATACACATGCACATGCACATGGGCACGCACATGCACAAACACATACGCGTACACATGCACACATGCATGTATGCATGCATGCATGCATCTATATGCGCATTCGCACAAATTTGAGCTTTTGTGTTTGACTGGAGTTCCTTTAGTTGGGGTGAAGGGGGAAATATAGGGGTCAGGTGTCCCGGCAAAAAAGTGGGCACAAGGGTTTGGAACCTCCGAAATGGTTGATTTCCATTGGTTTCCTTTTGGGTAGTGAGCCTCAACATCAAGACAGACCCGTGTGTCATGTGTTTGACCACCCCTCAACACCCGTCAAGTCCCAGCTTGCGGCAGGATCGGCGATGACCTCGGCGGGGTTTCAGGCACATCCGGAGGGCGGGTCGCCTGGTCGCCCGAGTGGGGGGTTCTGTCAAACATGGGGTGTGGCTCCCTTTTCTGTTCGAGGTTACCCTTAAAAAGCCAAAAGGAACCGCATTTTTGAAGCGAGCCCTATGGGGCCCTCTAAAACGGTATTCCAAGCTAACTGATTGGGGGAAACGGATGGCCCAAACGGGGGACATCAGACCTTCGGAAAACATTCCAGCTCCGAGGGGGCGGTTTTCGGCCGGGAGCTTCTCCGATTTCGGCCCTGTTCCAGGACCAAACGTTTAGAGGGACGCCCGGGGCACCAGAAGCCGCTGGCCGGAGTGACCAGAGGAATCCTCAGATTCTGAGCCACTTGATCAAAACCCGGGGATTGATGAAGGTTAGTAAGGGGCAATCCCACCCATAAATAGCTGCGGATATCCGCCTCCATAATCCTTGAAGCATGGTTCTGGGTCCATTGTACTACCGGGTTTTGATTGTGACGCCTATGCCGTTTGCCTGCTCTGCCACGCTTCAAAGATTCCGGCATGTCACATGCAACCAAAGCCATGCTTGAAAGGGGAAACGGGTGCCACGAAACAAGAGTCACGGTCGAAGCCCGGTTGTATTTTTAGCTTTTTGGCTCAAGCGAGGCTCTTGTCATGGACGTGTTGACGTAGCCCCACGTGACCCGTGACCAGGTTCCAATTGGTGGGAGAATTTCCGGTCGAATTTCCAGTGGGTCTTTTGGGGCCACTTCTCGCACGCCACTTCTCGCAGTTCGCAGGCCTCTCTACCGCCGGGCCCCCGCAGCTGGAGAAGAGGGTCGGAGGGGCCGAAGCTTGAAAATGATCTAAGACCGATGCATGTAGAATTGGAAGGTGCCCCGATCTTGGGAAGGGGAAACGAAGGGAAGGAAGACGCCATGAAGGAGTCGTCAGTTTGCTAACAGGGCTTCAGCTCCGAATGTTTGGTGCATTTTGCCAAGGGATGTTAAAGACTTTAGCTTTTTGCCAACTAATGGGTTTTCCATTAAACTACTACTAAAAGTTAAACTTTTAGCAGGGGAGCAGAAAGCAACCGAGGATAGACTTTGAGAGCTAGCATCCTGCACTGGATAGACGTATCCTCCCTTGATAGATGTGATGCTTGGCTGCTTTGGCTTTCTTGGTGCGCATCGTTTGGGACCTCCAGCACGAACTCGGCGTTCAGATTAAAGACTTCCAAAACGGGAGCATCTCGGTGTTTGCTCTGCAAATCAAGGGGAAACGATGAATTGAACGGAGCTTGTTTGAACAATGCACTGGGTCAGCTGCTCCCGGCTTGAGGATAGGGTCTCAGCCAAGGGATGTTCATTGTGGAGTGGGGCAATTGTTTTGTCATGGCCCACATGATTTCATGAGAGTACCAGGGGATAATACACGGAATGTTCTTTTGCACCGTTGCTTGTGCCCGGCTGCTCACCGCCCTGACGAGACATCATGTGTGAGATCACCAGTCAGCCGTTTGTTGCTGAGAATGTACCCTTGATTGTTTGTTTGTTTTTTTGTTTGTTTGTTTGTTTGTTTGCTTGTTTTGCTTCTGGGTGACAGCCCCATCCCCAGATTGGGGTTGCTTTCTGGTGCATTCCCACGGCCCATATTTCTGCGTGGTTGGATTCCGGCCCCCAACACCTCGCTTCACGCTGCGCGGCTCTGGTTTCATGGGGGTGTTTGACCATAGTAAGCAACTTGTTTGACCACAGTAACATGGTAGATCAAAACATCCACGGGCTGGGGCGGAGGGGGGGGGGTGGTCGGGGAGGGGGGGGGGTGCTGATTTGGGCTTCCATGCTTCCCTGTCCATGAGCCGTCGCCCAGGGGCTGCGTGCAAAGCAAGATGGCCTGGGAAGGCGGAAGCGGCGGTTTTCACCTCGCCGGGTGGGGTTGGAGATTTGGCCATGGTTCAAAACCAATGGTGCCATCTTGGGATAGGGTGAATTCACTGCGCATTTTAGAAGCTATTTTAGTGGCTGGATTGGGATGTTCACTGGGGGCTAACCGATTTGGGTTTTGACCCATGGCCATTTGGGGTACACTAGAGTCCAGTGGCACCCTCCAAGTTTTCCCTTCAATACACACATCCTCTAGGTGTTCCCTTCACCGAGTCTGTGACTGACTTTTGGCGGAAGTCCGGACACACTCCAAACTCGCGCCTTGCCACGGAGCTGTATGCACAGCAAGGGAAAGGTGCCATGTCTTTGTTGGTTAAGACAGGGTGACCCGCAGGGAACCTGGTGTCCGGAAGATCTGCCAAAAGGGGCTAAAGCATAGCCCGCACGTGGTTTGATATGGGTGTGTGTGTGTGTTCTTTTACCCTCTAAAAGGGTGGTTTCCATGTTGGTTTCCCATATCAAGATGGGTTTGGCATGTTTCCGTGTTTGGATTGGAATCTTCTTGTCCTCAAGCCCACCTTAAGCACCTTGGCCAAAGGAGGGGCCCCGGAGATTCCGCCGAGCGCGTGGCGCTGACATGTTCTTCCAAGAAAGATGAGGTCACACCGGCGCCCAGCTTCCCCCACGTGGGTGTGTGCTTTTTTTAGGGTTTGGACCCCCAACTTCTTTTCTTTCCCTTCGGATCCCCTTTTTCATTACCCAGGACAAAAAAATACCAACTCCCAAAAAAGGCGGCGCACCCCATGTGTTTGGGCACGGTGTTTGAACGCCGGGCGGATTCCGAAAACTGAATGTGCCCTCCATTTTCTCCGTGGACTCTCCGCTCAGGGGCCTTCCAGGAGGACCGGCGCGCGATCCATCGACTGGGATCGCAATCTGTGGGGGGTTCATCAGAATTCCCTTCAAGGCAAAAACATTTTTTCCCATTTCCCTACCCCTTAGCCCGTAGGGCACTGTGAATCTCAGCTTTGTTTATGGTGTTTAAGTCGGCCCCAGTTTTGACGGTGGGTAACTTTTCCCACCTGATTGACGGGGGAGACATGGGCAACCCATTTTTTCCCTTGTCCTTGAAGGTAGCCACAAGTTTTCTAAGTGGCTCTTACGTAGCCCTTGTGTTGGTGGGAGTATTTTCCATGGTAGCAAGCTTGTCAACAGACCTCATGTTGGTCTTTGTTCCCCAAATGCGTGAGGAGTCTTGACCATGGCACATAACGGGGGTTGCTTGTTGGAGGCTACCCTTTTTGGGCTGGCCATAAAGGGACACTAAAGGAGAATCCTTCTTTTTTGGGGGTCCCCAATTTTTGGGCACATTCCTTCACATGTTGCCTGCGCCAAGCTTGATCGAGCGGCAATTCGGCCGTGTGCGATGCTCAGGAGAGGCGAAGCCAGTCGAGCGAGACAGAGGCGGCGTTGGGTCTCGCGTGAAGGGCCGTGCTTTTGATTTTGGGGCCGCCAAACGCTGATGGACAGCTGCTGGCTTGCTCATTTAGACGAGCATGAAGGATCCTAACAGGGCGGCTGTGGGTCAAAAACAGGTAGCCAAAATGGAACCCGGGTAGAGGGAAGGAGCACTAAAACCTACGGTCCCTGGTGGTTCAAATTTGACTCACACCGATTTGGATTCGGGCTAGGGGCTGTCCGAGTCTGTCATCTCTGAAGCCCGCCTGAAAGGCGACTGGGATGTGAAGAACCGCCTCGGCCACGAGTCCTTTGGACCACAGCGGCCATCCCAAGCCCGCTGCATACTTTTACATCTCGTTGGCCCCTGTTTCAAGCTCAAGGGCCAAACCAGGGCGCAAGACCCAAGGTGCGCCAGTGGTCTGAGGTTTGTCACCGAGGCTTCCATGTTTGTTGTGCCTGTTACGTCGGTGTGATGGGAGCTTTCCGTCCAAACTGAGCATAAGCGCTTGAGCTTCTCTCAGTGGCAGGCTGAACCAGAGCCTGTGCCGCTGGCAGATGCCGACCGAGAGGCCCCATTTGCTGCCGTGCTTTTTGGGGTAAACTTGCGACACCAGGTTCCCGCTTTGGGAAGGCTTTGGGTCAGGACCACAAACACTTGTTCCAGTTTGCTGATCTGTCGGCGTTGACTCTTCGACGGGCAATGCGAGCCACGCGCTGTTTTTCCTTTGGCACTTTACCAGATTTTGGGGCAAGACCTGCCCCAACTTGAGGGCATTTTGTGGATGTTTGATGTTTGAGACAGGCCTGTCTTCTAGGCTCGTAGGGCTTTAGGGTGGACCCCATGAGGCCGGTCCCTGGCGCGCATGCCGCCCCCGACGCGTGACTGGGTCGACAGGTCCAATTGAAATCGGCAGAGTGGATGCTGCCCGCGCGAGTCTCAGCCAGGGCAGTGGTTTTGAAGGAGAACGAAGAGGAATCGCGATTCTTTCTTGGGGAGTCCTCCAACAGAAGACACTACTAGTCACACCACAATTGGCCATGGTAGGTTCTAGTGCCTGGTTTCATAGGAACCATTTGTTTTTGTTTTTGTTTTTAAAAGGGGAGAGTCCTCCAACAGAAGACACGCCCAAGTCCGGTTCCAGAGCCTGGTTTCGTGGGGGTAAAGCCAACAGACACATCTCAGCCTGCTCAGAAGCCAGAAAAGGACACGCGTCTCGGCGAAACGGAAGCCAGGACGCCGCGGAGGCAACTGTTTTGGGACACCAGACATCAGGGCCCCGTGTTTTGACCGGCGATTTGGGTGTTTCGCAACATAGGGGCCCGTTTTTTTTTTGGATGGGTTTGAAGGGGAAACCAAAAGGACATCAGCCAGCTGAAGGGGTCCCTATTTTGAGAAACCCCATATTTGCTTTACGAAAGATGTCCACTGTCGCGATGGGATCTCAGAGGCAACGGAAGTCGCAAAAGATTGGTCTCTCACATCTCGCATGACGGAGACCCTTTGACTTTGTTTCCCTCTAGCATTCTGAACTGTCTGTATCTCTGCACCATGGGTGCGTCTTTTTTGAGGCTACCCCTTTTTCGGGGGTGTTAGAAGAAAACCAAAAGGACAACCACCGTTTTCTTGGGTTCCTTTAAGAAACAGTGATTTGTTTTGTTTTATTTTGGTGATACGAGGAGCTGAACGTTGTCAGTGAAAAGGTGCCAGTTGGGTGTGCTAGCTCAATTGCACAAGTGCGACCGTTTTTCGCAGAACATGGGGTTGATAGCAACACTCTTGCTCAAGTAGACCACAGTGAATCAGTGAAACCTAGACAGCGCATCCCACTCCCCGATTCTTTGAGTAGACCCTCTTGTTCAGGCTTTGATCACATGACCCAAGCAAAAAGTTTCGGCTCATGTGAGCCAAGTGTTTGTAACGAGTTGCGAGAAGACTTCCGAAGCAAGGCGGGTCTGCTGGATGACAACCTGAAGGCCTTGTTTTTTGTCTGGGTCGATGGACTGTGGGGCTGCTGCTCACAGCTTTCCTTGTGTCGTTGTTTTTTAGATTGACCTCGGGTTGGCTCCCTTTGGCAGATCGGTTGAGGGCTATGGACTTGCCCCTAAAAGTGGCAAGTCCTGACGTCGCTGCACACCTTGGCGCTTCAAAACCCTGAGCTTTTCAGGTTTTCAGTTGGTTGCGTTGGGGTTTCCATTTATCCCACGAACAGTTATTCACTTCTCGGGGATCTGAACGCCTCGCAACATATTCCAGCAGCAGGGCGCCGCTCTCATTTCCGTGGCCTGGCTTTCAGGAGTTGTGTCCGAGGCGACCACATCACGCGGTATGCGAGCCATGCGCGAGGCGATCTGCATTCACATCGGCCAGGAGCTTCGGCGTGAGCAGACTTCTGGGACATGTGCTTTCTTCTTCTTTTCCTTTTTCCGCAGACAATAGCTCAATTGAGCCACTTGCTCAAAGCCTGGACAGCTGGAGTTTGGTCGGGAACAATCCCCAGAGGTACCGCATCCCAATAAATTGGTGCCGCCCTTTGTTCCCCAAACAGAATTGCTCCTAGTCCCTGCTGTCTCCCCACTTGTCTCTCCACTTGTCTCCCTGCTTTTGCTTGCGCCTTTTCGCAGCCTGTCTCCCCACTTGTCTCTCCACTTGTTTACCAACTTGCGCTGCTCTCCCTGCTTGTGCTTGGTGACTCGAACGTGGTCACGGCTTGTCTCCCTTCTAGTCTCCCTGCTTGTCTCCCCACTCGCCTCCCCGTTTTTCGCCCTGCTTGCGTTTGCTCACTCGAACCTTGTCACGGGTTTGTCTCCCCCCGTTTGTCTCACCACTTGTCGCCACACTTTGCGTGTGGT